TGGCCGGGAGCAGAAGGCACCATGGCCCGGGAGCCTGTGAGTAGGGCAGGCTTGGGAATTCAGGGTGAATGGGAGAGAAGCAAGGTGGTGCTTCTACACAAGGCCTCGAGCCCCACTTAACCACCCTCTCTACTGGCATGGCCAGTTGGCAAATCGGTCTCTAAAATGAGATCCATGTGGGTGAAAACCACGCCCAATTAATCCATCAATCCCAGATCCCTGCAGAGAATCGGCAGAAGGTAAATGTTTGTTCAATGAATGAATGAGCGTAGCTTCCCTGTGTCTATTGGAAGCACCAAGAATGCTCACAGAAGGTAAATGTTTGTTCAGTGAATGAATGAGCATAGCTTCCCTGTGTCTATTGGAAGCACCAAGAATGCTCAGGATGGAGCACATTTTATTTTGAAGTCCTGGTCGTGAGGACCTGTTCTGGAGCCAGACAGACATGACCTCAAATCCTAGCTCTTCCTTTACAAGCTATGTGGCCTTGGGCCTGTCCTTCCCCTCTGCTTCTTGGTGTCCTGTTTGTAATAGGGACACTATCGCTGCTGGCGGTCTCCCACAGAGAGCAGAGGGCAGCTCTGGTGAGCATTGGTAAACCAAGAGGATGGTCCTCTCGGTAGACTGCCAACGTGCAAGTGCACATACCCCCCCAGTTTTGTCACCTTTGATGAGTTAATGTCTCTTTGTTATTTGTTTGGATTTTTAAAAATCTATCGGACTAGTACTAGACCTACCTCAGAATTATGATAAAAATTAACTAAATTAATATGAGTTTAAAGGGTTCCTGACACATAGTAAGTGCTCAGTAAACATAGTGATCCTAATAATGGCTTTGTGAGACTGCTGCGGTAAGTGGCAAAGGATGGATCCGAGGTGGGAGGTTTGGGGGAAAGGCCCAGGATTCAGGGTCAGCCTCCTTCTACCTGAAGCAGTTCCTGAACGTCTGCAGTTCAACAGTGAACAGAGGGGCAGGCTTCCTGCCCTTGCAGAGCTCTCGGTCTAGACAAGCAGAGCGAAGGGGATGATCTGAAGAGGACACTTCAGTGGGATAAGTGCCAAGACCAAGGGAAGCACCAAACCCCACCCAGAGGTAGGGGGAGTCTCTAGATGACAGGCTCAGGTTTCAGTCCCAGCCCACCATACTCCGCTGGATGCCTCTCAGTGTTCTGGCCTCAGTTTTCTATCTGTCACAAGCTAATAATAAATACTTCCTGGCCATTTCCGGCTATTCCACAAGGCTCCAGAAAGAACATGGGTGTGGCCATGTATGTAGGATGAACGTGGACTGTGCCAATGGACAGCTAGAAATCCTGCCCAGAGGTCCAAGGGACTGCATAGCACCCCGGGCTGGGTGTCAGGAGAGTGGGGTGTGAGCCCACTCCACCCCAGCTCACAGTGCGGCCTTGGGTGAGCCCCATCCTGCCCACTTTGGGCTCCTATCTCTTCTTATCTTCTATGTGTTGAGGGCATGGGATGATCAGTGGTTCTCAAACTGGGCTCCATGGTACCCATGAGTTCCATGGAGAAGCTTTGGGAGTCTCTGCTGCAGGGGACATTAAAATAGCAGGACTTCAGGCTCCAGCCTGCCTCCCTTATGTCAATCAGAGAAGTTTCTATTTTTATCTGCTCCACATTTTGAATTCCAAGTAAGATTCCTCTGGAAAACAATAACAACAAAGAAGGGATCCCATGGCTAAAAAAGGTTTGGAAAACCACTGGACCTGATGACATCCAGGGTCCCATCCAGCTCCAATCAAGAAAAGTTAAGGTCTAACTCTGTTCTTCCAAGTGTCATTTAGCCAGCATTTAGCCAGCACTTTCTACTGCCAGAATTGTTCTTCGCGCCCTGCAGATTGTAAGTGCTTAATTCACTAGAGTACCTCCAGGCTCCGTGAGGGCCGTGTGACTGAGGAAATGACTTTGTGTGGCTAAGAAGGTCCAAGGGAGCCATTTCTCCTCCAGGCGTGTCTTCTGGGTGCCTGGGCAGATGACCTCATCACAAGCCAAGTGGTGCTCGGCCAAGCCTATGCTGAGAAGCACCAGGCAGGTGTGTGCAGCCACAGGGTGTGGTCACAGGAGGTCTGTGTGTCTCAGCCCCCAGAGGAGGAAAGCAGAGCGTTCCAGCTTGACACGGATGCTTTCATCCAAGGCATGTGCCATGTGGGAGGAAGTGCCTGTTGCCTTAGCAATGTCCTCAGCAACAGGTCCACTGCCTCCTGCGATCCATCCCCAGCCACCATGCTGCCATCAACACCCTGCACCAGGTGGCCACAGATCGAATTGCAGGGGTAGTGGCCAGAGCCTGGAGAAGGCCCAGAGGTGGGGTGGTGGGGTCTGACCTCATCTCCAGCCAGCTCATTAGGGGGAGCAGCCTGGGCTGCTGCATCCAAGCTCAATCCAGCTCTCCTCACCACCAGAAACAACTGTGGGAGGGGAGGGGTAGAGCTGATCTAGCAAGCACAGCTTGGCCCCATTGCCCAGGACAGTATTTTGGGCAGATTTTGTGTACTTACTGCATGAGCTTTTCTGTCTGAAGCCATGTAGTGACACCACTTGGTGGGAACTTCTGCCAGGTGGTTATGGTGTGCCCCAAATGCAGACAGGGTGCCAACATTCTAGGGGCTAGTCTGAGGGATTACCAAGCAGCCTTGAACTATGAAGTGACCACAGCAGCTATCAAAGTGCTAAGGAAAGGGTGGGGTAGCGTGCTGTCTTTTCCAGGTCCCATGCTGAGTATTACAAACACAAAATGCGTAAGGGGCACTTCCTGTCTTCAAGAAGCTCATAGCCTATTGGGAGAGACAGCATTACATTCTCATGTTCACGCTGTAGTGGAGGGAAACATGGAGGAACGTGTCGCCACAACTGTGCTGTGTGGCGACGGTGGTGAGCGTTTGCTCAGCTATCTGGGCCCAGTTGCAAGTGGGCTCTGCTGGGCTTGCTTGCATGTCTGGAAGCTGCCTGGCTGTTGGCTGGGTGAGGATGGTCTTGGTGGGACAACTGAAGCAATGTGGCTCTGCCCTCCATGTCTCACCCCCCGCAGACTAGCCTGGGCCGCCTTCGGGGCAGTAGTGGGGGAGTAAGAGGCAGCAGAAGCACATTAGAGCTTTTCAGGCCGCTACTTGAACTAGTTGCTAACATCCCATTGGCTATAGGGCAAGTCCAGAATCAGAATGGGAGGGAGCTACTGAGTTCCAGGAACAACGGCATGGATACAAGGAGACCTTGGGAGTCCCATGGGGGGCTCAGAGAAGTTTAGTGGAGGAGATATCTGAGCTGAGCCTATATGGCCAAGTCTGAATTTGCAAGTGGAGATTGGAGGTAGAATGCACAGGAAATAGCATGTACAAGGCACAGAGATGGCTGCATAGTTGAGCACTTGAGGACACAAGGGCTGGGTAGAAAACATAGTCATTGACCACAGCAGGGTCCAGGTCACTGCCTTACAGACTCTCTTGAAGACCTAGGCCTTTATGGGAGGGCAGGAGACACCCAGGAAAGTTTTGAGCAAGAAAGAGGAGACCATCAGATTTGTGCTTTTAAAAGATGACGGTGGCAGAAGAAAATGGGCTGGATGGGAGGTCTGTAGGGACAGCATGGGAGTGGCTAATGCAGTGGACCCAGTGAGAGATGCCTGGGCCTGAATTGGTGTGGATCAAGAGGCTGGGGGACTGTCATCCAACAGACTGTGCAAACAGAATAAGCAGGGCCTGAGGACTGATGGGCCAGGTAGCCCAAGATCACCTCCTGATGTTTTGCACAAGACATGCAACAAGTTTTTCCCTATATCTGTGCTAAATAACTTAAATAATGTCTGGCTCCTCCTATTAGTTGGCCAAGGGAGTCGGGGATACAGTCACTGTGTGAAACTGAGCAAGTCCCTTCCCCTCATGGGCCTCCATTTCCCACCTAAAAGGGGACCTTTTAGATCATGTCTCAGGGCTCTCAGACCTCAGGTGGGCCAAGTTCCATTAGACCCCTGGTCCTCAAACACCAGGAGCCATTGGGCTGTGGAGAAGTTCCAGGGAGCCTGTTAAAACCCACATTCTGGCTCCACCTTAGATTCCAATTCCAGGGGTGGGAGCTGGGCATCTGATATTCGGTAGCACTCCAAGTGGTCCCGGTGCCTGGCTGGTCTGCCTGGGTAACAGCGGTGCCCCCAGGGCCCAGCATAGAGGCCCTTGAGGAAACACGTGTGAATGTGTCTGACCTGGGGGGCATGGGTCAGCCCTGGGGGCCCAGCTCCTAGGCCTTTGCCTGGTGTGAGGATGGCTTCTGGAGCAGGTGGCATTTCTGTTAGGCCTTGACATCTAAGCTTGTTTTGGTCATTTGTTTGTTTGCTTTGTTTGGCGGGTACTCCCAATTACAAAGTGAGTCTGTGCTCATTCTAGAACTTTCCTAAACACAGGAAAAGAAGAGCCCAAAGGAAAACTTACCCATCATTCCAAAACCCAGACACAATTAGGGTTCTCATTTTGTCACATCATTAGATAAGATGTTAATACTCAACCCTGGTCAGTGTGGCGCAGTTGGTTGAGCATCGTCCCATGCATCGAGAGGTCGCCAGTTTGATTCCTGGTCAGGGCACATGCCTGGGTTGCTGGCTGCTCGATCTTGGTGGGGGGCATGCAGGAGGCATCAGATCGATGTCTCTCTCTCCCCCCCCCCCTCACTTTCTCTTCCCCTCTCTCTAGAATCAATTTTTAAAAAACATTTTTTTTTAAAAAAGATGTTAATATTTTTCGCAGGAGTGGGGACGGTGTGGGCAGAGGGCTGGGGACGGGAACAGGCTGCACGTGTTCAGAGGCCGGTGAGTAAGGAGCGGGAAATGTGGAAACGCTCAGACTGCGCCAGCTGGTGCCGGCCCCACACACCTTCTCTGTTTCAGGGCCTGTTGCCCCAAAGTCCAGAGGGAGGACCGCCAGTCCTGGAGGTGTCGGGGACCTCAGCCAGGTCCCTGAGCACAGCGCTTATTTCTCTTTCTTCCCTCTGCCCAGGTGCTGTTTGCCCTGAACCAGACCCTGCTGCAGCACGAGAGCGTGCGGGCTGGGAGCCTGCAGGCGCCCTACACCACAGAGGACCTCATCAAGCACTACAACTGTGGGGACCTCAATGCCGTCATCTTCAACCATGACACGTCACAGGTGAGGCTCCCCTCCTCCAGCCCAGACAGCCTCTGCATCACTAGTTCCCAAGGCCAGGCCCATGTGAACCCGCCTGGCATTTATTAGACGCCTACTGTGTGCCAAGCACAATCTTTTCTCCAACCATGGTAAGCAGGAGCTATTGGGATCCCCATTCTATGGGGAAACTGAGGCTCAGAGAGGGGAGGAAACTTGCCCAAGGCCACACCACTCATTATCTGTTGGGTTATCAGGTTATGAAGAGCGGTATTTGAGCCTGATGTGTGTAGACCCTGAAAGCTTAGCCTGGAAGAAGAGGGCATCCAGTTCAGCATCTAGTGAAATTAAAGCCCAGGGAGAGAAAAAGCCCACAGTTACTCAGACTCAGAGCATGGGCTGGAGTCTAGCCCAAAGCATTCTGCCTTGTTTTAAAGCCTAAAGGAAAAACCACCCATAGGCTGGGCAGACAGTGGGTGGGACCCCGAGAGGCTGAGCATGGCTCTACCAGGAGGAGGGTGAGAGTTTGCATTGGAGGCACAGCTGGGGCCTAGGCTGTGTCATTCTGCCCATGCGCCACCCCACTGGAGCCAGCGCTCCTGAGAGCAAGGGTGTGGTGCTCATCTCTCGGTCCCAGTGCCAGCACAGGGCCTGGCACAAGCGTGCATCGGTGAGCAACTGGTGCATGAACGAATGTAGTAAGACACACATTGTGCATGGTTTGGTGTAGAGAAGGAGGGAGAAGGGATCCAGAGACCTGGCCACAGGAGGCTCAGATTCTGAGAGCTCTGACTATCATGGTGAAGAAGGAGGGAGGAGAGAACTAAGATACCACTAGGCTCATAGGCATCCCACCAGCCATTCCCTTTGTGACAGAGCCCTGCCCTGCTTCCTCCTTTAGGGAGAGGCTGGTGAGCCCTGAGCAGACAGAGCTGTGTTGCAGAGGGGACCTGGTCACCACCTGAGATGTCCAGGCCATGGTGTGGCCAGGTTGGGGGGAGGGGCATGCAGGACAGAGCCTCGCCAGGCTGTGGCTGACACTAAGCTGGGGGAGGGGGAATGGGGTGGCCTTAGGAGATGGCAAGCTCAGATTTTCTGTGATCTGTCTCTGGCGGGTGGGCTGCCTATGTCATTGTAGGGATTAAGTAAGATCAGTTTTGGAAAATGCATAGCACAGTGCATGGCACAAAAGAAGTCACAACTAAATGTCAGCTTCGTACGACTAGCCTGGTGCATGGAGCTGTGATGGCAGTGGCCACAGTGAGCATGGCTTAGGCAGGGGCAGAGACGGAGATGACGAAGAGATGGCCTTCAGAGCCTTCAGAGAACCAGGAAGGCCTCCTCTGCTTGCTGACCAAGAGTGTGCATGTGTGGAAAAGCGAATCTCCATTCATTCCTTAGGAAGCTAAAGAACATTTAACATCAGAAAGTTGAACATTGAAGCTACAAAGGAGTTGGGTGAGACACCCAAGTTCCCTGGGCTGCCCAGTGGCTGCCAATAGTCTCTGCCTGTTTCATGCTGATGAGCCTTTGCTCAATGCCAAGGGTGGGTCCTGTGGGTCCTGGGTGGGGATGGGAGCAAATTAATGATGTCATTAGACTTTTTGGCAGCCCTAAATCTTCTGTGACAAATTTAAGTGCAGGACACACGATAAGATTTTAAAGAGGACACGTCAGGCCCCCAGGGCCCTAGAGCGATGGGTCTGAGATGGGGGGATGAGAAGACAGGCTGGGGCTGTGGGTGTGACCTCAGTGTGGGCTCCCCTGACCCACGACCAGGACTGGGTCAGGTATGAGAGTTGAGTGCTGTCTTCATGCATCAGAGGCCCCAATGGCCTCATCCTTTTTCTTCACCCCATTCATCCAACAGACACCTTCTGAGAACTCTCACTGGTCCAACCCTATATCGAGCTAGGGGGCCATAGAGCATCCTCAGACTGTGTCTGCTGCCATGGGTGGAGCTTGCAGCCCAGTGGAGAGTCAGACTTGCCCATGAGAACACTGTGGGATCTGTGTCTGAGAGGGTATCAAGGGGTTTGGGAGCCACAGGAGGCACCTCACAAAGTGAACATGTCTTGGTTTTTTCCAGGACATTCCAGGTTCATGGTTAGGGCAGACTGCCCCACACCTGGTAGTTATTCTGACTCTTAATTATATATGAGCTTTCACTCTCAAAAGTGTCTGTGTATGGACAATAAAAATATTACCCTCATGTTACCAATTTCGAAACTGAGTCTCAGAGAGGCCAAGTCACTTGCTAGTTATAGAGCCGCCCAGCTGGAGAGTGGCAGAAGAGGGATCCAGCCCAAGTTGTCCTGGCTGTCTGACTTCTGGACCCATATTCATATCACCATAACTCTACTGCCTCTCAGCTCATTCAACCATCCACTCATTCACTGTATGAACAAATATGTGTGTGTTGGTACAACAGTGTCTTACATTCTTTCCCATGTTCAAGGAATGAAGAGAAGCCTGAGAGGGCCATGCTTCCAGAAATAACCCCTCTGGGTCCCAGCTCTCTGTATTCCCCTCCACTTGGAAGCCTGCAGGGTTGCCTTTCTTGTGGCTGCAGCAAATCTAAGTGTGGCCTGTGCTGTCAGGGCTGCCAATCATCCCTTCCACAGTAGGGGATGTAGTAAGAGCTCCATTTCTTTATTTATCCATCCGCCCAAAAGCCTATGAGACACTGGCATGGCTGCTACCTACAATTCTATAGGAGACACCAGCCATAGCATTGTCCTGCTCAGCCTAGAACAACAAGCCAGGCCTTTCTGGCAAAGCAGCCCCTCCCCTCTCGCCCTGGGGAGCACACTGGTCCTTGGCCAGCAGATATCAGAGACAGATGTTCGGCCTTCTCTAAGTCCCTCAGGGCTCAGCCTCTGTTGATGCCTTCATTTTCCTCAGAAAGAGTGTTGACAACTCGTCAGTGGCTCTAGAAGCCATGTGGCTGGGCCACATGATTCTTCTGGGGGCTAAAACCTGCAGGAAATTAGTCTTCTGGTGCCAGACTCTCCATCTAGCTAGTCCATCAGTCAGCCGGGCCTCGTGGCCCGTGCTTTAGGCCTGGGTTAGTGAAGACAGAGAAATGGAAGAAGAGACACCAGGAGGAAGACATGCCGTGAGCAACAGTGTGGAGGTTGACAGGTGTGGGAAAAGAGAAGGTCTGTTCTCTTTCCTCCATGGCCATGGCTTCCTCTAAGTCACACCAACATGTTGCAGGCCACGGTGCAGGACACCTGGACCCGCCACCCAAATGGAAAGACAACTTGCTGGGAATGGAAGAATGCAGGAGAAGGCCATGTGGTCAGGAAGGACAGCACAGCTCTATGTTCAAAGTTCCAGAACCCTTTTCTGAACGCCTCTTCTGTTCCAGGCATTGATAAAGGCTCTGCCCCTGAAGTCAAGTTGCTCTCTGCCTAGTTCAAGAACATGTCAGTTCTGCAGGCCCCAGGTCACGTGGCTGGGTGTGGACAGTGGGCCCAGAGCTGAGAAATCTGGATAGTTCCAGGCCAGGTTGCTAAACAGGCCACCATTATGGGAGAAAGCCATGTCTTAGAATTGAAGTTTCTAAGAAGGATGGAGGAGTTTGGTTATGTCCCGGGAAGTGATGGAGCTGGGGGTGAAGAGATAGTGGTGGCAACAGACAGTGGCCAACCAAGGCTCAGGCATTGGGAAAACCCAAGTTAGGGTGGAGTGGGCTGAACGTGGCTCATAGAGCAGCCATCATCTCATGTAACCCCAAAAATCACTGTCAGCCCCATCTTACAAATGAGGCAACTGAGGCTCAGGAAAGTTAAGTAACTTGGCCAAAGTCACACAGTGTCAGAACAGGGCCTGAAGCCCATACCCTATGGCCTTTCTGCTACCCCAGGCAGCTCAGCTGACCATCCACACCTTCTTGCTGAACAGAATTTCCCAGATGTGCCAGTGCCAGGCTGCCGAAGGGAGGGCAGTAAAGCAACTGAGCTCTGGCCGTCTCCCAGGACCTCAGTGCCTGGAAGCTGAGGTTCAGCAAGGCAGAGACACGGAAGGGTACATGTGGGAGGGCAGCAGTCTGGACTCTTCCTGGCTTGGCCTCTTTTCTAGCTATGTGCCTTTGCACATGTCTCTGGACCTTTCCATTCTTGCTTTCTTCACTTATAAAGCTGGAATAACCACACTCATCTCAAAGGGTTTGGGAATTGATGAAAAACATATAGCCCATGTGGGGACATAAGAAAGGTAAGTTGCTCGCCCACCTGGGGCAGCCTGAAGGCAGCCTCTGTCTTACCTTCACAGCTGCCCAACTTTATCAACACGACGCTCCCGCCGCACGAGCAGGTGACAGCCCAGGAGATCGACAGCTACTTCCGCCAGGAGCTCATCTACAAGCGGAACGAGCGCATGGGGAAGAGGGTCATGGCGCTTCTTCAGGAGAACGAAGACAAGATCTGCTTCTTTGCCTTCGGAGCAGGTTTGGACCGGAGTGGGGAAGGGATTATTTTCAGAATTCCTAAGGGCTGGGAGATTTGCTAAACCCTTTCCTGATCTCTGCTTCATAAAGGGAAAAGCTGAGGCCCGCAATGGGGCAGGGAAAGTTACAAGGTGCTTAGCAGAGCTGGGACCCAAAGTGGTTCTCATCCTTCTAGTCAAGAGTTTTTTCATTATAGTCCCCGTGGTAAAGGGGTGGCCCCGGCCAAGGCCAGGACAGCTTCTGTGGCCCCTTCATGTCCCAGGAGGCCATGTCGGGAGCCCAGAACTGAGCTAGCTCCCACTACCCAGCCCAGCCTTGGATCCCCCACCTCCAGCAGAGCCAGGGCCATGTGACCTAGTGAGCAGAGGCAGGCTCTGGTATGCCCCAGTCCTGCCTCCAGATCTCAGCCCCAGCCCGTCCAGGCTGCATGACCTCTGGGTGGTAATTTTTCAGAGGCTCAAGTCCTCCTCTATGAGTTATAGCAATAACTATTTGATGAATTGAAAATATCTATCTTGGAGAAGAGTTGTAGAAATTAGTGACAACATTTAAATAGCCTGCCATATACTAGTAATAAGAACTCACGGCCGGCGGTGGCTACCATTATCATGATCATTATCATGATCATCATCATGACAATTATGACAAGATTTATTATCCCAATGTGGACCATGAGCTGGATGCTTCTCCTGGGCGCTCTGGCCTCTTTGTGCAAAGCGAAGTCCCAATGTCCAGATGTAGGGCTTGCTCAGCGTCTCTCCCTGTTCCTTCCCCCAATCCCTCTTCTTCTCCAAATTCTTTCTTCCTGTCTCTGTGCTGGCACTGCTGATGACAGTAATGTCCACGTTGGGACCAGGAGGTTGCATTTGCCTCCTTTAGTAGTCATCTTTTGCTCCAGAGCTACAACAAACATGTATTTTTTCATGTTACCACGGTTTGGGTTGATGAAATTCATCTTCTGTTTCATGAGAATTAAGCAAGAGGCCTGGTGAGCATTCACAGCCACTGCCCTCTCACCCCTCCCTTCGCTGGACTGTTTCCCACACAGGGTCTGCCTGGGTCAGGCTGAGTTAGACCAAGTTGAGCAGTCGGTCTAACCTGGAAGGGTCCTGATTTCGTTATGGGACATGTCCACTGATGAGGTCCGCCTTCCCCCTGCCTCCTGCTCCTGCCATTCAACCCCATATATACTTGAAGGGCAAGAGCTAGGGTTCGTCTGTCTGTGCCTGTGTTCCCTCTTCTGCAGCCCTCAGCACATGGATGAGGAGAGGCACATGATGGCCTCAGACACACAGGACCTCTGGGGCAGTCTCTTTAAGGCCACGAACTCTGTCTGGGTGCCTCTGTGGTTTCAACTCAGGCCTTCCCATATCATTGAGCCCTGGGGACCTAAGTCAGTATTACTCTTGTTATCCATCCTCTGTCCCATCCTCAAAGAAGGCACAGGGCCCCCAAGGCTGCGGGAGGAAGGACGGAAGGGTCTATGCCACTGGAGATATGCCTAGCCACCTCCCACGTGTGTGCTGCTCATGCATAGGTCTCCCAGAACCAGTTTCATTGGGTGTCCCAGGAAATAGCTTGGGAAACAAAAACATAATTATAAGACACCCACCCAACGCTAGCCCAGCTTTGCCAGGTGTCTGAGCAGGGCCCCACAGGCTAACCTCAGAAGCCAGTGAAGGCCCTGAAGCTTGCCAGGTGTCTGAGCAGGGCCCCTGCTGTGGTTCTGCCACAGGCTAACCTCAGAAGCCAGTGAAGGCCCTGAAGGCTCCAGGCTCTGGAGCACTGGGGAGGGGCCATGCAAGCTAAGAAAGGAGGTGGGTAGTGGCACTTGTGCCTGCCCTTCCACCCAGTGCCAACCCCCCCCCCCCACTCCTCACACCCCGCCCAGTGCCTATTCAGACCTTTCCAGTGCTGATGGCAGACTGGCCCCTCCTCTGTGCTGCTCCACAGGGGGAGTTGGGCCAAAGGGTCAGGGCTTTGGAGTCAGGATGCCTGGGTGTAAAGTGTGGCTCTACCTCTGTCCGCTAAGTGAGCCTGGGAAAGCCATCTCACCTCCATGGGCCTCAGCCTCTCCTTTGTAAAATGGGGATAGTATGCCCGTCTCATATGATTATGTTGGATACACTCATTTTAGATCAGGGCTAAAACTCTGCACCAGGGTGGAAGGGTTCTTATAATAAAACCCCTACTGTGTGTCAGCCATGTCTTGTATGATTATGTTGGATACACTCATTTTAGATCACAGGGCTAAAACTCTGCACCAGGGTGGAGGGTTCTTATAATAAAACCCCTACTGTGTGTCAGCCATCATTCTATCCTCTTGGATTACATTGCCTTTGATCTTCACAGTAACACCACAAGATGGGTGTTAATACACACATTTTCCAGATGAAAACCAAGGCCCGGAAAGGGTGAGTGGCTTCCACAAGGCCATTTCTCCTGTGCAGGTGCCCTCGCCTGGACACTTCCAGAAATGCTGACCATTTTGTGGGGAGGTTGTCTTTTTAGCTGGTGCACCTCACAAAAGAATACTCTCCTCATGTCTGTGATGTTTCTATTTGGCCTTCTCTGGAGGCCGGCAGAAGAACTTCAGCAGGTTCAGGGGCAGTTGGGGGGCCGACATGTGTGCAAACTCTGAGCAGGCCTGGGTGATGTCTGGGGGCCTGGATGGAAGCCCTGCCTCTCGGGGAGGTAGCTGTGATGAGTGTGCGAATCAATGTTCTGGAAGGAACCAGGCTGCTGCTGTGGAGGAGTGAGCCAGCCCTGGGGAGGGGAGGTCAGATTCCCGACTGCCAGGATCCTGCAGAGGGACAAGCTGACCCTGAAGGGCCCCCGAAGATCTTAGGTGGGTTTTTGGATTTCCTCTGATCTGCAAATAACTGAGAAAAATAAGTACAAGTTGGGTAATTTTTTATTAGCAAAGTTTATGCAATTTGCTGGCTTATCTTTTAGTCTGAAATGATCTTTTTTTCTACTGTGTTTGAAGTTTAACTGTTCTTTTGAAAAAATAATGGTGATATAAGACAAATGGGGCTTTTCAAGTGCTTACTTGGCAAAATAAAAAGTTGGTTACTGTATATTCCCACCCACCTTCTCTACAGATAGGAGAGAACTGAGCATATTTAACACATGCTGGAAAGACTAGAGTTAGAGGGAGGGTGATACAGGAGAGAGAGTGGGAACAAGTGACTGGCCCAGGACTCGGAAAAGGCAGGAGGGGCGTGACCAGAGCTCAGACAGAGGGTGTGGCCTTCAGCAGAGGAGGCCATCCTCCCCCTGTAATCAAAGGGAAGGAGGGAGCAGGCCAGCAGGCTAGAAGGCAAGAGAGGTCTCAACTGATGGCTTCTCACAAGAGCTCCACTCTGTAAAGTAAAATGTGAAGTAATCTGCAGAGAAAAGGAAGGAAGATGGGAGATTCTTGGTGTGAAGAAAAGAGAACATTTGCCATAAATTCGAGATTGGCCACAAGAACTGACACGGACCAGAAGTTAAATAGATTTCATAGCATGGGCCAACTGTGATTGATTGGTAGTGGCTGCCTGGAGTGGGAGGATGTAAAGTGGGATGATAACACACATCAGAGCTCAGCAGAGAAGAGGCCCTGATTGATTAGTGATGCCTGCTTGGATCAGGATTAGGGTACATGCCTGTCACATACCTGCTCTGTCTGCCAAGAACACAGGCGATGCTGACTGGCAATGAGGACCCATGAACCTGCAGTAATCTCAAGACACAGGTGGTAAGATTTCCTACAGCAACACTGAACAGCTGGGGTGCAAATGAGGATGCTGCCCTCCAGGCCACTTCCTGAATTTATCCTAGTACCCCCTGCTCAGTGAGCATCCCACTGTATATGAACTACTCCAGGGCAGGCACACACCTCCTCAGGATTGCCAACACCCAGGAATGTGCTATAAAGACATCCAGGACCAAATCACCCAAAATCGAGTTCATTCCATTCAGTCACATGGCATCTGCTGGACCCCAGGCCTCGGGGAGTGGGGACAGGGGTGTCTCAGTCCCAGGCAGTAGACAGAAATGACAATTTTGTCCCTAGCTCCAGGGAACTGGGCTTTCTCAGGACGTGTTTACTTGTGCAACCATCCTGGAACAGCATGACTAATGTCAGAACTGGCAGTGCTGGGCTGGAGACATAGCCAGACTCAAGGGAGACCTCTAGGGTCATTCATGTCGAACTCTGAGAGCCAGAGGTTACCACAGGTTACCGCACATTCTGTAACCCTCACGTGCTATGATCTGAAAATAATTCTAACTTCTGACCTTACAAAGTCCTTTGACCCAAGCATCCTATTGTTTTAGGATCATGTGGTTCTCATATCCCATCGTTTATCAGCATAGCATTCTAACATTCTGGCCTAGTTTGCTTCAATCCCTCTTGGATTCCTTTGGAGGAGTGTGGAGCTAAGAGCCTTCCAGGACCTGGAACTTCCTTCTTGTCGGGCTACTGGCACCTGCCCCCACAGGAAGCAGAGGTCCTGGCAGAAAGTAGGATAAAAGGCAGGCCGTGTGAGCTTGAGAGACAGAGGGGCTGTAGCTGCTACCCCGAGCACCCCCACAGCCAGCACACCCAGTCTCCAGGCTGGCGCCAGACAGGGTGAGGACTAACATCCCTTCTAGCCCCAAAAGTCAGCAATTCCACACATACCTGACAGGTTTGAGTGAAAGGAGGCAGAGTGAGTGAGAGAAGGCTTCCTGAGGAGGTGAGACCACTTGAAGTTTCCTGGATACAGGTCCAGCTACTTCTGAATTCTTTCATCATCCCATAGTCCTCAGGACAAGACTCACACCCACTTCCTTCCCCCCTTAGTCTTTACTCAGGAACAGAAGGAAGCCCTTCAGAGCTCATGATCGGATACAGAAGAGCAGTCATGGCCCATGTAGGGTCTTTTCAACCTTAGAAACAAAGAGGCAGCACACACCAGCTGCTTTCTCCTCTCTCAGGCAAACGCGCCTGGCCAGCCACACTCCCCAGGCTG